CATAAGGTCATAGGAGCGCCTGAAGATTAGAGGTGTTACAAAGAGAGTAACAAAAATATAAAAGAAGGGGAGATAAGGGCGATAGATGTTTGATAGGACCACACCAGAGCACCCGCCAACCACCCAGGTCATTTGCGTACGACCGCGAAGTACTTAGCCACTACACCAAAGACGCCGGCCATTAACCTGTATCCAAATCAACAGGTGCTGTGATTGGTAAAGAAAAGGGTTACTGGTGTTGCAGTAAATATGCCGCATCCAGCAAACTAAATAAAAGCAGTTATGAAGAGATGAAAACAGTTTCTTATACACCTGAATGGACTTGAAGACACTTTAACACCAGCTGTCTTTTAATAAATATGTTTTTACAAGCCTCTTCGACATAATTTAGAATACTTAAGAGGCGGACTGCTTCCGCCCTACTTGTTAAGGCAAACGTGGGCTGAGAGGGACACAATATTTCAGTAGAAAGACCAAGCTATGGAATATGTTTAATTTTTTCCAACATGGGAATCGAAATCGGATCTTGTGTGTGTGGTGGCGAAGCACCTAACCACAACACAACAAACACCAAGCCTTTAATTACAAATGTATCTGTATTCAATTCAACCGGTACTAACTGTGATGGGTGAGGAAATGTGTTGTAGTAGACAGTGTACTTGTGTCCGGTCGGTGGTAGGTAGCCTATTGCAGTAAATATGCCAGACTATTCTCACCGCCAAAACCAATAAGACACAGCTGAACGCAGTTTCTTAGACAATTGAATCGACATGAAGGCATTTAAACTTCTTGCTTTCTCTTTTCTGTTAATAATGAAGGTGTTTTACGACACCATAGACATAATTTAGCTCATGTAGGAAGGCTGCTTCGACCCTTAGTGTCAGGGCTAAAACTTGGCTGTGAGGGATACAGCATCTCAACTGAAAGACCGAGATACTCGATACAAATTCTACCCGCATAGGAAGCGAACTTGGGTCTTATGTGTGTGATGGCGAAGTGCCTAACTTCTTCTACACCACAGTTTGCCTCTGTCTGGTTCAACAGAGCCAATGATGGGTGAACATATAGTTGAATTGATCTGTACTGTAGACATACCTACTCCACGGTACCGCAGTAAACGTACTACATCTACATCCGCTCACTGGTAAATGCAATTGTGGAGAGGCACCATACGAAGTTCTAAGGCCACTCACTTAGATCTACCTAAAGACTTTGAACATCTTGCTCTTATTGGAAATACATATACAATAAAAATAACACAAAAAACCCGAAAAAACAACAACCCCCTCCAAAAAAACCAACAACCCAAACACAAACAAAACAAACATAGCAAACTAAAAGACCAAAAAGAGACAGAAACAGAATAACAAACTATGAGAACTTGAACATATTGGAAAAGTAGAAATAACCCAATTAGTACATGTCATGTGCCATGAAAGACAAAACAAAAAACTTCCCAGAGTATCCGAGCAGACTAACAAATCAAATTGTTAATGTCTTTTTCACGTCTAGTGTTTTGAAGAGAAGAAGATAAAACCACTGTACACTTATATGAATACTTGTCCGATTTTGCCTAGTCTTCAAAAAGCAGCGGTTAATCTAGCGATAAAAGAAATCAAAGAAAAAGAAACACCATTTTCTTGATCTATTTTGAGAAACTTGTAACATAGCAGCATACAAGAAGTAGTTATTAAATCACTTGAAAGATTTTCCGAAACAAAGAAGAGCAAAAATAAATCAATGCAACAGCTCTTTGCGAAATACTATCCTTTCGAAATGCCAACAATTTAGATAGCAAAGGGGTTTTGGAACAAAAATAGGTAAACCTCAGATTGGAAAAAAAAAGAAAAAAAAAAAGAAAACGAAGACGAATATTGAATATGAATTGACAATTTGATCACAGGAGGGATGGTGAGAGTGAGATCATGCATAGATAACGCAAGTTAATCTTTGACGGATATGAAACACCATACCATTGTTTAACACAGATGTAACATGCAGACATTGTTCAACATATATACAAAATATTATTGTTCAACAGTTCAACATATAGGAAATATTATTATTCAGCATTTCAACATCTATAAGACCTTATTATATTACCAGAGCCGTAAATCTCTTATAAAAAAAAATAAAACATACAAAAAACCAAAAAACCAACACCCCCACCCCCCCCCCAAAAAAAAGCCAACCAAAACAAGAAACAAAACACAACAATTTGAAAAGAAATGTCTTGAACGCCCCCAACTCGAGATAATTTTCTTTTTATTCTTCAACTAACGAGCGTAGCAAACTTATTTTCAATACAAATTCTCAAACATTTGAATTCATTAAAGAAAACAGACATCAAAGTTAATAGCTAACACCTCATAATATGCCCAATGGGCTTCTAACTCGTTGGCGTTACCATTTTAAAAAAGAAATGCGGATGGATGAATGCAACAACGATGGTAACATCATAAACAATAATAATGAAACAATGTCAACAAAGCAATAATAACAACAATCATTCTAATAACAAGAACGACCACAAGACGTGGACAAAATGAACAACACAAACATAACAACAACAACAGTAGCAACAAACAACAACAATAACAACAACAAAATCATAACTTTAACAACAACAACAACAATAGCAACAGCAGAAATAATAACAACAACAGCAAAAACAACAGCAACAGCAACAAAAACAATAGCAACAGCAACAAAAACACCAAACAACAGCAACAATATATAAGAACATCTCACGAGTGTGGGTATGGGATCATGTATTTCGCTTGAACTAACAGAACACCATTTTCCACCCTTCTCTTCCCACTTCTCACTGACCTTTTGTTGAACCGAGTACTGAATGGATCGACCAGCACAGTATCGCTTAATCAGATCCTAATCTCGGCTGGATCGATGTAAGCTCTCGTTTATCAGGATAAAGCAGTTTGAAAGAAAGACACGAGAAACGCGTCAAATACCCACTCTGGCTACGTGGACAACTGAAAACAAGAAACTACAAATTGCAAGCGTTGAACCCCCCCCCCCCCCCCGCCCCCTCCCCATGAAAAACTTTAGGTAAAAAAAGTACAAAACCATCCAAACTAACAAAAGAAATGAGAGGAAATAATTTGTACAAAGTATGATCCCCATGATTGGTTTTTTAAAAAAGTATTACAATACTACTGCTATTGTTATTATTGTTATTATTTATTTTTTAATACGTATCAAGTTGAGCTCAAAAGAATCCCACAATTGTTCAGACTTAATGGTCCATGTAAAAGAACTTGAGAAAAAAATAGGAGGTGATTGCAAATTTTAAAAAAATAATTTTGGCAGCATACACACACAGAGAGAGAGAGAGAGAGAGAGAGAGAGAGAGAGAGAGAGAGAGAGAGAGAATTGGGAATACTGGAAGGAAGCAATAAACATTTGTTAAAACTGCAATTAGATCATATAAACTAATAAAATAATATGGACTTTGAGAATACAATAACTCCAATATAACATTGAAGTTTATTATAAGCTCCAATTAATTTAACATTAAAATATATGATATGAATTAATCAAGAAATAGGAACCCCAGTCTGTATAATTCAGTTATAATTCACTACTCTAGAATTTCACAGTTCGATCAGCTCGTTACCTAGTTATGAGAAATAATAATATGACGTTAACAATTTTGAGCTTCACAACATGTCAATGTCAAACTTTTTCGAATACAATTTTTTGAATATCTTGATAACGACTCCGAATAACCTTACGATTTTGATAGAGCAGATAGAACCTGGTTTTCTTTCTGGCTTCATGACCTTTGTAACTGAAAACAGCCAAAAATATCAGATAGATCTTTGCAGTTCTAAAGTAGCGGATTGTACATAATGTCACTCGTTATCCCGTACTCCCTCCTCAACAAACATATTTAAAATTAATGATAATGTCCTAGACAATACTTTCTGGCGTACTTCCGGCTCACAATGGGACGCGCCTTTTGTCTAAATTTTGAAACAAATGAAAGGCAAGATTTCTTGTAAAGGCTGTACGCACTCGACTATCAGGATAGCGTTGTCTTACCTTTGGTTTAGGCGCAATAGCGCGACCCATGAAGCGCACGCTTCGGAGTGAAGATTTTATAGAGAGCGAAAGGTGGCGGCTATGACAGAAGGCAGTCTAGGACAATAAGCTTCATCACATACTACATGTGGAAGCAAAACTGTCCCCGTGGTTTTAGTTTTATGCATCCCGCATAATTTAGCAAAATTTAATCATTTCTTGGGCATAATTTCTGATTTTTTTGCTTTATCATTCTTTGTCAAAATTAACAGAATCGCATAATTTCACAGTTTTGGGCTCAGTTTACATAATTTCAGAATTTTGTTTGTATAAAACAGCGGGGATAGGCAAAAAAAAACCAACCCAGATGAAAGATGTTGAGTTGATCGAAAGTTCGAAAATTTATGAGCAAATTAATGTGATTCAGGACGTTTTCTCGGCTCTCCATCCATACTGACATGGTCCTATTGGAGATGGACCTTAAATTTGGAGGTCCTGTCTCTCGAATAACCAAACAATGTTGAAAAGGGAATTAACCGATACGTAGTGGAAATTCGAAAATACAGCAAATAAATACGCCAACCAACAACAAACACAACAACAAGATAGACCTCACGATCGTGAAAATATGGAAATGTTGTGCCTCTCTGGTCATACACACTTAGATATGTTCACAATATAGTATCTTATTTGCCAATCTGGCATTCGTACTGGAGCATTCGCAGACAAGAAACGAAAACAAAACTTGGGATTATCTTGAGCTGTACCCTAATATGGTCGCTTTTAAGCACAAGGTGGTTATCACGTAAAATGCTGTTTTGAGAAAATCGAAGGTAAAGTTTTTGTCCCTTGTTCAGTTTCTTTAAAAGACGAGGAGAGTTTTCTCTACAACCAAACAAATATACGCAACAATGAAACCAAACTTCTCCTATAGGTAGGGCAATACCCACTTTTGGTGAAAGTCAAGATTTCTGATAACCCCCAAAATCTGGGTTAGCCCGCTTGTCCTTAAAAGCGACCATAACGTTTGTTGGCGTTTGACAGAAATCAGACTTTGAACACTGAGTGAACGTTTCACAAACCTGTTTTCCACACATGAAGTTACAGCATACACTGTAGGATGAAATAATATGTTATTTTGAATAAATTACATTTGTTAACGTACCACCTAGCCATTCTCAAACCACAATTTATAAAATAAATATTATAACATTATTAAAAATAAATATTATCACTAATAAATAATATATATTATAACATTAATAAATTATTGATATAACAAGTATGAAAATAAAGGCGTGACATGAATTCAGTAAGACACGTGATGGCAATACTATTTGGTTTTAATCATGGTATGAAGAAACATGGATCAAAGCGGATCCAAGAGCATAGTCGTATTAATAACATGACGTATTGGTGGTGCTGTGCCAAAAGTGACCAGATCTTGAATTTAGCCAAAAATCAATATATTATGTCTAAACTTAGCATACAATAAGCCCCTCATCATGTAAAGATAATAGTAGGAATGCATCTTATTCTGTAATTTGTAGTGAAATGGTTGGGATCTCCACTTTTGCTTGTCGAATATATATATGTGATTCCAATACCTTAGTGAAGAAGGTTTGTGGGTTGTTGTTTTTTAAACCTAGAAAATAAATTGGATTTTGGAGGCAAAAAACGTTTACATTATTTACAGATTTACTTTAAGAATTGGAAAACATGCATAGTAAAATAATAATCATATTTCCAGAAAATATAACTAACCTTGAGAGAGAAGTTCAAACACATTGATGCCTATGACTCCTAAAAGATATACTTTTTTCAAGAACTGGTCACTTTGGGACCAAGACCATAAGAAATGTACCAATATATATATAATATAAATAAATCTTCTTTCATGACAAAATGCTAAGATGACGTCATCAGAATCTGTGCTCCCCATCACGCTACAGTATTCTCCCTTTTCCTGACCATGTGCGCGCCGGGCGAGTTATCTATCCACACGTGTGGGTTGGGGGCAAACTTTGCGTTGTACGCTGACGTCATCTTGGTCAGCCTGGACACGATCTGCCTCATGTCTTCCTCGTTGACCGACTGAAGGCCCATGTAGCGTCGGTCAAGGCCGGAGACCACGCTGTAGCTCTTGGCAGACTGTGGACAGAGTAAGAAATAAATAAGACATAAATGTCGTGCTCTATTAGAGCTATCGTGTAGCAGACTGTGGACAGTGAAATAAATAAGACACAAAATTAATGTCATGCCCCATTAAAGCTTAGCGTTTTAAAAATTTTAGTAGAGGTTTTACGGCGCTCGCAATTGCTTAAGGTCGTATGAGCACCAGAAGATAAGAGGTGTTACAAGAGAGTAGCAAACATAAAAAAGAAGAAGGGGAGATAAGGACGCTAAATGTTTGATAGGAAAGAAGAAGTAAACCACGCCAGAGCACCCGCCAATCACCCACATCATTAGAGCTATCGTGTATCAGGCTGTAAACAGAGCAGGGTAATAAATGTGACATAAATAAATGTCGTACTTTATTAAAGCTATCATGACAGAGCGGATGATATGATTAGTATTGCTTGTTTGCAGCAGACTGTGGATAGAATAATAAATGTGACATAAATGTTTTGCTTTATTAAAGCTATCATGGCAGAGCGGATAATACACATATTCTTATTACTGGTTGTTTGTAGCAGACTAAGGACAGAGTAAGAAATGTGGCCTAAATGCATCATACTTTAATAAAATTTTAAACTATCCTGTAGCAGACTACAAAGTAGTAAATGTGACATAAATGTCGTGCCTCATTAGCGCTATCATGTAGCAGACTATGAACAGTAATAAATGTGACACAAATACGTCATATTTTTTTAAGCTGTCGTGATGGTGGTTATGATTATAATTAGTTATTTGTAGCAGGCTATGGATAGAGTTATGATTATGATATAAATCAATGCGTCGTGCTTCATTAAAGCTATCATGATAGCTGGTATGATTTTTGCTTATTTCTTTGAAGCAGACTGTGGATATAATAATAAATGTGACACAAATGTCGTGCTTTATTGAAACTGTCACGAAAGTGGATAGTATGAATAGAATTACGTACTTAATTTGTACCAGACTGTAGACAGAGTAGTAGATGTGACATAAGTAATGCGTCGTGCTTCATTCTAGTCTAGAGCAGTCACTATAGTGGTTAAAGTAATAAATGTGATTGTGGAGAGGAAAATTAATTTCATTTTCTAGTAGACTGTGGATAGAGCAATTATGCACAAGTTATTACTTTTGCTCATTTGTTGCTGATTGTAGATAGGATGTGGGTGGTTGGAGGGTACTCTTGTGTGGTTTGCTTCTTCTTTCCTATGAAACATCTATTGTCCTTTTCACCACACACACACACACAC